TTTGTCCTTGTTCTCCTCTCCAGCATTCCCATCCCTTCTGTTGGTGTTCTTCTTTCTTTCTCTTCTTCTCCACTTCCTATTTTTTTGTTACAGAAACTGGGTCAATTATCTTAGAGAGTTTTTCACAGTCTGGATTTTGGTTACTGTATCTCCATGTTGTCTTCCAACATATTCAGTTGTCTCTTGTATTTTCTATAAATAGGCACTTAGATCTGGAGGCTATCTGATTTAGGGAAGGTTTGTATAACGCTGAGAGGTTTGTGGTAGCTGGTTAGCTTTCTTTTGATGATATAAGGAGTCATTGAAGGTCTTTGCTAGATCCCTCTTTCATTAGGGGTTTGTAAAACATTACATTCAAGTCCATCATTCCCTCATTTATTAGCTGAAATACTTTAATAGCAAGAAACTGAGTCTCATTAACTATTTGGCTTTTCAAAGGTAGATCTATATAGAAAAAGCAAAGCACCTTCTTGATTTCTTTTCTTTTTTAAAGAAGTTTCCTTCCTTCTTTCCTCCCTCCTTCCCTTCCTTCTCTTTTTGTGAGAGAGAGGAATGGAGAAAGACAAGCATATTCAACAGAATTTCATGTCGCAATCTCCCCTCTGCCCCACCAGCCTTTCTAGCCAGCCAGGATTATAGGAATGTTTGTGTGCACACCAGGACTGTACAAGTTGCTGTAAGAACTGAACCCAGTGTTCTATAAGACTTCCAGAAATGCAAACTGTTGTGCTAAGCCACATTACTTCTTGATTTCTTGCCCCCACCTTTTATTTACCATTTTTTTTAAATAACAAATTCACTCTTTAGCATTTTTTTAGAAAGTGTCGTTATGATATCATGGGTTTAAACATATTTTATTTGCTTCAACCTGTTGTAGCTATTTGTTTTTTTTTGGAGAGGTTTTTGCTATAGGGCATGTGTCCTTGCCAGAAAGACATAGAGAAACAGAGAGAATGTAAGAAATCCCCCCCTGGAGGCATGGCCACACCTCAATCCCTTCTCCATCCTCCTCTTGGGATCTTGGACACGTACACACATGCGCCTGGACTGAGTTTAAGCCACCTGGTCTGGGACTTGAACCATAGTCAACTATGTGGGAGTCCAGTGACATAGCCATTACACCGACTGCTAGTCCCTGCTGTAGTTATTTTTTAAACTCATGCTCAGATAAACTGATTTTTGGCTAGAGGAAACCTCTTTAGTTCTTTTGACAGAGTTCTAATAATCTTGATCACTTCCTTGATTTCTGGTATGATAAAATGCTTTTGGTTTACTTTGTATTTTCTGCCCTAAATCCAGAACCAGCAGTTTCTCCAACCATCTGGCTCTTTGCTAAAAGAAATGATGTTTAGAGATGACAATTTGGGTATTATATGAAATACTGTATGTTTTCTAAAAGTAGCTTAATTTTTAATTAATCCAAGAGTTAAAGAATGAAAGATGTAACTGTTAGCATGGAGCAAATAAAATTAGCACCATGTCTTTTAGGGCCTTGACTCAGCAGGCATAAGCAAAATATTGAGAAAATTAGTGATGCTAGTGATCATTGGTTAGCGACTTCAGAGTTAGGGTTTAGGGAGACATATTCTTCTGACTTGAACACAGATTTTCCCCAGCTATCTTAACTTGGTGCTGAGAAACTTCTTCCTCTGTGATTAGATGATAAGAGACAGAAGGTATAGCTTTGCTTTATCAATTGCTAATAAGGAGTGAACACATGGACTTCCTTTCCAAAAAATGTTTTTCTAAAGCTCATTTATTTCTTCCATGAATGAGAGTGATATGGGGAGAGAGACAGAGAGACGGCCTCACCAATATGATCTCGACCATCCAATCTACCTCCGATCTCAGGCAGCCCCCAATCATAGGCAACTATGCTTTTGATATATGCAGGGAGGTCTCCCAGTGTGAACCCAGAAAGTTCCCATGTGGAACAGCTTGATTGAGCTTTGTGTTTTTACCATCATGACAATATCCAGCACCCAAACAGACTAGAGGTTGCCTTGGCATGGTTTGGGGCAAGGTGATGTAGAAAGTTAAGAATTTGGTGAAGGGGGAACCAGCAGTTGGTGTAATGGCTATGTTGCTGGACTCCCATGTAGTTGACCATGGTTCGAGTCCTGGACCCAGTGGCTTAAACTCACGCTGGGCACATTTGTGTGCATGCCCAAGGTCCTGAATGGAAAAGGGATTGCAGTGATTTCTCTCTTTCTGTCTCCCTGTCTTTCCAGTGAGCACACATGCCCTATAGCAAAAATCTTTCCAAAAAAGGAAAAAAGAGTTCAGGGAAGTGCACAAGGTCTTATCTAAAAGTTTGGAGTCAAGTTTGCAACTTAGAATTATCATTGCTTGATCATTCTCACTTTAAATATCTTTTCTGGTTCTAGAAGCCATTTGACCTTTCTATGTCTGTTTCTTCATCTTTCTAATGGGTAGAGTATGTTACTTGTGTGAACATGTCAGGATTGAGGGGTGAGAACGATAGTTTCTCCTAGCTAACAAGACTTATGTGAGCATCATTCAGATAGAAATGAAATATGTGCACAAGTAAGCATGCTTGGAATGTTTATACCTTCATCTTAACCCTAGGATGGTCTTGTTCCTGGCTGTCAGAGTCAAATGTTCTAATGGGCACCAGAAGTCCCCTGGACCTGACATCTTTCCTGTACTGGCTTAGCCATGGTGCTTGAAATCTCTATCTGTACCCCCTCACTCCTCACATACAGACCTTCAATGTTGCCTGGGAGACTTGATACATTACAGCACTATCATCTATGAAAATCTTGGTTGAAATAATCTTAGCTGACTAGATGCTGGGTCACTGAGTAGGATCCTATGAATGGGCCCTGGCATGGCTTCTTTTCATGAGGAGGAATATGGCTGTAGGAATCTGAAAAAGATCACAGCGGGACTCTAGAGGCCTCCCACAGCAAGGGGGAAAGTGGGAGAGGAAATCCAATGGCAGGTCACTAGTGGGTACCTGGTGCTTTATGTGCCCAATAGCTATTCCACTTTTATTTTGGAGAAACTATCTTTCCCTTTTGGGATGTGGTCTTGTAAGGGCATCCATTAATGAATCTCCCCAAAGAAATGATCAGTATATGTCCCAAGAATGGCCATTTGATGATCTTTCTGTAACTGAATCCTGAATGGGTCAACATGAAGACCTGAAGCTTCTGAGTGCTTCAATTTCAATGGCGATGCCCCAAAGGACTGTCTGGTAGCTCCAGCCACGTAACCCGCAGAACTGCTCTGGCTCCCGGACTTCCTGAGTTTGTCTTTAGCTTTTCTTGCTATCTTTCAGTGAATTTACTCCTTTTTTTTCCCCCTTGCTTTAAGTTAGCTAGACTTGTTTTCTGTTGCTTTAACCAAGGATTTTAGCATAAACGCACTGAAAAAAATCTACTTGTTTAACATCATGATTTAACTAGTTCTCCTCTGAAGTTAGCAAAGAAATTTCTAAGATTTATTACTAATGCCTTATTTGAAGTTGGAAATTTGGGGGCCTATCTCTCTTCAAATTGTGCAGGACCTTCAAAATGTTTCCTGGACAGCCTAGATTAGCTAGGGAAAATAGGAGAAGGAAATAGCAGTTTTGCCTATTTATTGCTCTCTTTGTTTTTTATGGGCCATTGTTCAATCATGCAATTTTATAGAATAATTTTTTTTTTTTTTTTAGAGAGAGGTTTTTGCTATAGGGTGCATGTGCTTGCCAGAAAGGGAGAGACAGAGGGACAGAAAGCGAGAACTCACCCCCAGGGGGGATAGCCATAACACAATTTCTTCTCCTCCATTCTCCTCCAGGGATCTTGGGCACACACGCATACACACCCAGTGTGAGTTTAAGCCACCAGATTCAGGACTCAAACTGCAGTCAACTATATTGGAGTCCAGCAACATAGCCATTATGCCAACTGTTGGTCCTGACAGTATACATTTTCTAAGATGAGGTTAAGCATTTTATTGTCCTCATTATAAAGGCAATGCATGACTATTATAGAAAATATCAAGAGGTAAAAAGATGAAAAAACCCATCCATAATCAGCAGATAATTACTTCCTAACATTTTGCTGTACTTTCTTATGACCTTTTTGACTACATATACATACTTTATGCAAATGGAATGGTATTGTTTTGCAAGCATAATATAGCAATATTTGGTAATTTGTTCATATCTTTATATTTTTCAGTATAATCTTCAATGATTGCATAGCATTTTTGCCCTATTATATTTTTATTTACATTCTTAATCTGTTTTTATTTAATCTACTTTTATTTAAAAGTTTTTTCTTTATTCATGACAGACCACATATATGCACACATGATAGTATGAGAGAGATAGAAGAATACAAAGAGAGAGAGAGAGAGAGAGAGAGAGAGAGAGATGAGCTCCCTCCATAGGATCTGGTCATCAAGAGATCCTTGTCCTCCACTCCTTCAGCCTGTAGGATCTTGGGCACACATAGTGTGATAGGCTGATAAGGTCAGAGATTTGAACTGTGATGGCCATGTGGGATCTGTCTTTGCTTGAGTAATGAGTTATTGCTGTGCCACACAGCTGGCCCAGCTCTTCTAAAATGCTTTTACTTTGGTATGAGTACTTAAAAATTAAGATAACTTTCTGTTCAGAAATGGATGAAAATACTGCCCCGCAGTAACCACAGCTCACACTGATGTCCAGCATTCGTCACCATTCCCGTTGATTGATGGTTGAATGGGCAGTGGTAGATAAAGCAGGTGTTTTGTTCTGTTTGTTTTGTGATCTGCACTGTAGGCCTCACACAGGCCTTGCCAGATGGGAAGCATATAAAGGCTGAAATAATCTTCAGTCCAGAAGGCCTCTGCAACTCCTACCTCTGATAACAGGCTGTCCCAGGAGAGTTTGTACATAAACTTTTTGTTATCAATACACTTTAATCTTATCCTTGTACCAGCCCATAAAGGTTTGCTAATGAGAACTCTAGCTCTCCTGGACTTGACTGTGAAAAATCTTCCCTCAGTAGGTTTCAGAAAGTGCCGAGAAGTCTTAAGTCCACCAACCTGCAAAGAAAAAGGGAATAAGATTCTGGAAGGACGTTTGTGTTACTGGGAAGCAAAAGCGCCTTTGAGTAGTACAATCAGGTAAGAAAAACTATGCTTTCTTGGGAAGGGAGGGAAGGAAGCCTCTGAATCATCCTCTTGTCTCAGAGATCTTGAAAGAACCTTAAAGCTTTGCCTCATTTTCATAGTCCCAAACCCCCATTTTTTGCCAAATTTACTTTTTACTGTCACCTTTTTGAAAAATAGGAACCTCAGTGAAGTAAAGATGTGGCAAATGGCTTGCCATGGTGTCATTAGAGCCTCATTGTTGAAAGTACAGGGTTTTGACAGATGAACTGGAAATCATTGTGCAATCTAGAATCTTAAAGATACAGTCATTGACTTGGCTTTCCACGGTGTATTTGCACTCCAAAAGCAGGCAAGGCATCTACTTTAACATTCAAAATCAGATTTTAATAATCAATGTGAAATAAATAGTGCTAATTATAATTTTAATTACCCTGAAGTTAGTAGCAGAATCAGATAAACTGGTTCAAAGAGAATGGTGCTGTGCTGGCAACTATTCTGGGAGCTAAACAGGATGGTGAAATGCAGGAGGTAGATTGTTCAAGTCTGAGTAAGAGTTGGAAGCTCTAATGTTAAATCAAGTGCTACTGATGATTTGTTTAGAAGCCTGGTAGTGATCATCAATTCAGCAGAGCAAAACTAAGGGGAAAAAAAGAAAGGAGTATATTCTACCACTTCTGTTTGGTACACAGGTTTCTACTATGTGTCCACATTTACAGATACAGTCTGTGTGCCAGGGTTCTATGGTTGGAGGTTTAGCTGTCAGTCATCTTGGCTAGTAGGAAGACTCCCTGAAAACAAAGGTTTGAGCAATAAGTCAGATTACTGGGTTTAATGCAGCTAGTAATGAAAGTAACAAATAATATTTAATAAATCCCTGGCATTTGATAGAAAAATGGATGAATATGGAACCCAAACTATAAAAGAGAGGCATTGTATGTCTCTGCTTAATATATACAGGATTTTGCACTCTATTGCAGAAACAGAAAGATTAGAAGATATAAAAACATGGAGAACAATTGTGGATACTAGAGATGGTGTGGGAGAAGAGTGGGAAACGGGGGCAGATGAGAGGAAGTGAATCAAGGGAAAAAGAAGCAAAAAATTTAAGGGACACAAAAATGGAAAACTGTTGATGGTAATGTGTATGATAATTTTTTAACTAGACTAATATACAGTGTATTCATGCTGGGAACATTCATTTTGCAAGCTGTAAAGGTATAAAGTGATTCACTGCATAGAAATTTTTTCTAAAAAGACAAAAATCTTTCATATCATCATAATTTGGAGGTATAGCTTTGCTGTGTTTCTTGACTTTCAGGGGCTGACAACAGAATTTAGGAATAATACACAGACCTAACATGTTCTGCCCTAGATTTGAATTGTCTCTACTTCTGTTGATGAAGGTTATGGTGGTGATAAATGGATGAGAAAAGCTTCCCAATAAACAGGAAATTTGGGAAGATGTTTGAGTCTCTTTGTGCACTCTTGGTTCAGTCGTACTCTGAAGTGTTTGCTGTTAGACCGAACTTTGACTTCTAGCTCAGGGATTGCAAAATCAAATGCTTACAAAGACCAAGTAGTAACTTAGAAGGATAGGGCCTTCTAGTGAGGGACTGTGAAATGCTCTGTCCAAAGGGAATAGTAGCTACTGAATTTTAAGAAATTCTTGGCACATGGGAACACTAGTCGAGTGTTGCCGTATTTTATTTGAAGTTTCAGATTTGTAAATGCAAACTATTTTTGCAGATAAACTATGAATGCTATCTTTTATCTTTAAGTCAAAGTGAAACAAAAAATTGTCTGGACCATATTAAAACACACTTATCTGTTGCCATTTTGCAACTCTGGGAGGGGGGGCTAGTACCTCAGCTACAAATTACCCATTTTGGGCAAGTTTTAGGATTCCAGTTAGGTTTCTAAAGCACAGGTGAAGAAAATGGATTCTGAATGTCCCCCCTTTGAGTCTAACAATCCTTTAGTCTCCTGTAAATTCCCCTGAAGGACCAAGAGGAGCATAGTCTTTACTATTTTGCAACTTAGTGATAAATGTGAACGTTCTGAACACTCTTACATTTCATAGAGTAAAAGAAGTGTTACTTTCATCATTTCATCTTGTTTTTATAGAAACTCTCTGAGATAGATGCCAAATCTGACATCACCGTCTCCCATATTTACGGATGGGAACACTGAGGCTCAGTACTAGGGAGGATTTCCCAAGGTCATCCAATAAGAGGTAGAAATGAGATTTAAACTCTGGAGTCAGACTTCAAAAATTTTTTTTTGTTTTTAAGAGGTTTTTGCTACAGGGCATGTGCACTTGCCACAAAGACAGAGAGAGACAGAGAGACAGAAAGCAAGAAATCACCACCCAGGGGGGCCGGCCACACCACAATCCCTTCTCCTCCATTCTCCTCTTGGGATCTTGGGTACGCAGGCACATACACCTGGCATGAGTTTTAGCCACCGGGTTCAGGACTCGAACCGTGGTCGACTACATGGGAGTCCAGTGACATAGCCATTACACCAACTGCTGGTCTCAGAACCCAATTTTTAACTGCCATATTATACTTACTCCCTTTGTATTATATGGGGTCTTAACTCCTGTAGTCATTTTGTGTGATGATGAGTTCTCCTACATTTTCAGGAATAGGTAGGGACATTTTCTGCTTTTGTAAAACACAGAAACATTTTCAATCATCATCCTTTAACACAGTGTTCAGAAAATATATGAGATCTTTCTGAACACTGAAAGGGAAAACCTACTGATGCCTGGCTTAGGACCAGGGATGTTGTGCCTTTTTCATGTCCTTTGGTTACCAGGTAGTAATTGAAACTTAGAACATAAAGTTTATAGGCCAAAGGTAGGGTTTTTTGTTGTTGTTGTTGTTGTTTTTTCCTTCTTTATTTTTGGAGAGGTTTTTGCTATAGGGTGCATGCACTCGCCAGACAGACAGAGAGAGACAGAGAGAAATCCCTCCCCCCCCCCCAGGGGGGATGGTCACGCTGCAATCCGTCTCCTCCATTCTCCTCTTGGGATCTTGGGCATGCACGCACACGTGCCCGGCGTGAGTTTAAGCCACCGGGTCTGGGACTTGAACCGCAGTCAATTATGTGGGAGTCCAGCGACATAGCCATTAAACTAACTGCTGTCTCAATAAGCCAAAGGTAGGGGTTTTAATCTCCATGCACACAAGACCATTTTGCTTAATCCGTGCCTGACTCCACCCAGCTTCCTCTCAAGGATAATCAGTACATGTGCATCAGTTATCCTTATTGACATGAGCTCGCTCAGTCTGGCCACGCACATACCCACAAACGGCATCAGTACCATCAATTAAAGCAGCATATGTGGTCAATCATGCAGCTAGCTTTTAACCCAGTTGCTATACCAAAGCATGAGTGGTGCTGCCAGGAAGAACATTCTATTGGAAAGGCTTTTGAAACCATATCTGAGTTTTTCCGAAAGAGTGATTCAACTGCTTGGTCTTTTCTACCATGGGCTTGGGATTTGGAACTAGAAGTAATAAGTGTGTTGTGTACTTGCTATCCCTGGTGTAATCTGCCAACAAGAAAGAGGTAAGGCATCTTGGCCTCGGGTAGCTTGAAGAATATGCTTTTCAATTCATGTGTCTGTCTTTCTCGTCCTCTCTCTATTTCTTCTTCCACTTCCACTTTTCTTCAGGAAAAATGGCCAAGCGCACCTTCTCCACATTGGAGACGTTCCTGATTTTCCTCCTTGTAATGATGACTGCCATCACAGTGGCCCTTCTCAGTCTCCTGTTTATCACCAGTGGGACCATTGAAAACCACACAGGCAAGTGTCGTGAGTTTCTTGGACGGTATTCCTAGGTGTGTACAGGATGTTTCTGAATACTGGGGACATCAACAAGAGAAACAGTATCTGCTGACAGTGCAGTGTCTATCTAAGCAACTGGGATGGCTGTCTCCCTTTGCATCAACTCCCCTGTCTGCATTAATAGCAGCTTTTATCAAGTTTGACTTTGTCCCCAAATAGTTGACAAGCTGACATGCCCAGATTTGTCTTTAGCATTTCCTTTGATCTAAGCACAGCTCAGGATTCTTCAAGGGCGGTAATGTCAACTTTTGCCCCAACTTCTAATCTTTTTCTTTGCATTCTTATTTGCATCATCATCTCCAGAGAGCAAAAAGAATGAAAGATCCCTGAATGTCAATCAGTCTATGAAAAGCTTCAAAGAAGTTGGTTTCTTCTAAATTCTAAAATTCTTAGAAAGGCCAATCAAGTTCGGTCAATGAAATGAAATGTGGAAGTGGACCATTGGAAGATGGTAGCCTGTTAGCCCCAATTCTGGTGAAGGAGCTCCACGGCTCTTCCCGAGAAACAGGAATGTTGTCATGATGTCGTCCCCAAATAGTTGACAAGCTGACATGCCCAGATTTGTCTTTAGCATTTCCTTTGATCTAAGCACAGCTCAGGATTCTTCAAGGGCGGTAATGTCAACTTTTGCCCCAACTTCTAATCTTTTTCTTTGCATTCTTATTTGCATCATCATCTCCAGAGAGCAAAAGAATGAAAGATCCCTGAATGTCAATCAGTCTATGAAAAGCTTCAAAGAAGTTGGTTTCTTCTAAATTCTAAAATTCTTAGAAAGGCCAATCAAGTTCGGTCAATGAAATGAAATGTGGAAGTGGACCATTGGAAGATGGTAGCCTGTTAGCCCCAATTCTGGTGAAGGAGCTCCACGGCTCTTCCCGAGAAACAGGAATGTTGTCATGATGTCACATGGTCTCAGATCGCCTGAGTTTTCAAGAGAAGCTGAAATGGGGAATTTTGGACAGCCCCTATCCTTTTTTTTCAATTGTTGGAAAAAATGTACTTTTTGAAACCTCAATAGGCTATATTTACAGGCAATAATGGAAAGGGTTTTTGATGGAGTCTCCGTTTCAGTGTAAAGCTTGATACTTATTAACTGAATAGAGGACAGGTGGGGTTGCATGCTGTGGCTGAAATAAAAGCAGGGCTGTCCTCAGGCCAAGTCGGGGAGGAGATGGCATTTTTCACATGCCTTCTCTTTGATGGCCTCTTCCCTTATTCTAGGTATTCTCTACCAGGTCTCTGGGCTTTGAATTCCTACAAACATAGAGGAACAGATCCTCTCATCCGACAATGCACACAGCAGGGTCTTGGACTGCTAGAAATGAAACGATCCTTAGGAGTTATTTGGATTTAGCTTTTAAAATGAGAGAATTAGGAGGCTGAGGCTCAAGGAAGTTGTTAATAATTACAGTGAGTATTAATAATTGCAATGATAGGATTAGTGTTAGTAAGTATAGTATATAGTATAATGTTGGTGTAGTATACTATTACTGTACTAGTTACTATTTATGGAATAGGGCTTCTTTGTGTCAAGCCTGACAGTAAAGATACTACATCATTTGCCCACCTACTTTTTCACAAAACTCCTATTAAGGTAGGTGCCATTTTACAGTGTTATTTTACAAATGACAAAACTGTGACTCCCATGTTGCAAAGCACTTACCCTTGGCTAAGTGGCTAGGTTTGGCTTTCCCTGTTACCACATTCTTACGTAGGTAGCAGTGAGGCAATAGCAAAAGTGCCCACTTCTTTCTTTTCCCAATACTGGATGTCTTGTAGAAAACACGGGCATGGGGATGAGACGACATGGATCCTAAGTCCATCCAGATTTTGGTCAACAGAGCATGAGATTCTGAGTTGAAGAATCTGGGTTGGACACCTGATACATCACATGGTATCCGTGAAATCTTGGTTAAGTTACTTCTCTGAGTTTTAGTTTTCTCATGTGCAAAATTGACACTGTTGGAGTAGGATGATATCTAAGTTCGTTTGTTTGTTTTAGCTACAAAATTCTAGGATCCCAGCTATAAATTTCTTGCCTAAGTGCTTTCAGATTTCTAATGCCTTGTGATGACAGGACGTGGACCATGCTGCCTCGGCTACTCCTGCCTGTTGTCCAGGGCAGAGGGGAAACAAACAAACAAATGTATATATGAAGCCTAAATATATCAAGAAAATCAAAGCTCTGTACCAACCATTGTTATACATTTTTAACATGTATTAATATAATTATTATTCAAAACAGCCCTAGGAAGCTGGATGTCATTATGATCTCCATTTTATAGATGAGAAAATCTGTTTAGCTAGTAAGCAGTAGAATCAGTGCTTGCATTTTTGCTTATGTTTATTTATTTTGCTATAAAGTACATTTGCTCTCCAGAGAGAGATAGAGAGGGAGAGGAGAGCTCCCCACCCCATCAGGGATGATTATGCTGAAATCCCTTCTCCTCCACCTCCCCTTTCTTTTGGAATTTTGGGTATTCATATATATAACATCTGGCATGTTTCTAGAGCTATTATGCCTGGGACTTGAACCACATATTGTTGGCCATGTGAGATCTGGCTTCCTTAACCACCAGATCACAGAGCTGGCCCAAGACAGGTTTTAAACTCAGATCAGGTACCCACCTTCTTAATCTTGATGTCATTCTGACTCCCTTGATGTTTGAGTGTATGTATGAGGTAAATATATACACATGCACTAAAATAGAATATATGTATGTAAATACATGCACTTATAGATATGAAAGTAATTAAAATGAAATGAAGCTACATAATCAGCTCTATGAAGATCCAGGTTGCATTAATAATACAAGCCTACAGAATCAGAGTGGGGCAGACAGCAGGGTGGCCTCCTGGAGATGATAGTGGAGCTGGCCCAGGAGAGAGAGAAAGGAGACAACGACAAAGGGGGTGTGGAGATTGGTTGTAAAAAGAAAAGGAATGAGGGGCTGGAATGGAGAGAATGGTAGAAACAAATTCTCAGGGCCTGAACTTTGTACATGGTGTGCCAGGAACCTGGCACTTGTTTCGTTTAGCAGGAACAGTAGATCAGGAGACGTGCGTGAAGGAGATGAGTTTGATAAGCAACGGCTTGTGATGACAGATGAAGACGTTTGTGGAGGCCTTGACTCTTAGTTTGAAAGAAAAAACTCTGCTTAGGGTTATGATTTAAAATAGGTTCCGGACCTGTTTCTCACTGTATGTATTACATTCGCATGTGAGAATTCACAAAGATTTTCCCATAGGAATCTGAACCTATGTCTTCTAATCGATGCTGACAACAAAATGTTGTTTCTCAAAGATTTTATTCTGTTTTAGATTCAGGAAGTCAGAATTTTCCAACCACTCAGAGCACTCCAGTTAATGGGCACTCCACAGCCACCCAGAGTTCTCCAGTGACTTGTACCCCAGAGCCTCCTCTAGTTCAGAATTTCAGTGGCTACCACATTGGTGTTGGGCGAGCAGACTGCACAGGACAAGTAGGAGATATCAATCTGGTAGGTAAATGATAGACTTCTTTATGAGACTGTGAAACAAGCTATTATTTTGTATCTTGTATTCATTCCTTATTTTACCACCATTATCTTCTAGCTTTCTTGTTCTTTTAAAAACAAGCCTTTTTAAAGTTCATGATAGAGTGCATACTTGTGCATGTCAGAGAGAACGAGCGAGGCTGGGTATTTGAACCGTGGCCCCAATGCAGGATCTGGCTTCTGCTGGGCAGCTCACTACCACTGCACCACAGAGCCAGCCCTTGTTCTAGCCTTTTTTCTTGACTTTGCCATGGTCTAGCACTATTAGTATCATACTGTAATGAAAAGGGAAACTTACTCAATCACAACTCCTTGGTTAAGTCAATTGACCATTTTTTTATGCATGGAAAAGGCAGGGCTGGCAAACTCAAATACTGCAGGAGTAGGCAGGTACCACAAATGACCAAATCAGGCCAATGTAAGATGGTTGATATCTAGTCAGTCCTCATTTTGGGGGAAACTATAGGAAATGGTGACCATTATGCTTTAAAAAACAAGTAAAAAGAAAGCGCATGGATTTAGCTCATTATTGCTATATAAGAATGTGGGTTTGGAGCTGTCCTCCTTTATAGTTTTCTTGAAGAAAAAAACAGAAAATTAGCGTGAATTCTGGATTGAAGATATGAGGATTTCAATTTCTTGGTGGAAAAAATGTAGGCAACCCTGGAAAAACCTGAAAATCTAATATGGGCCAACATTGTGGGAGCCAAATAAAACACTTCTATGGGCCAGACATAGCCCTAGGAAAAGCAGCTTTTTGGCTAGCATGGCAAAAGAAAAAATCCATTTTTGTCAGTGTTTTCCTAGGAAACTGGAGCATAAAGTTGTCTGATGGGATTTTCTTCCTCCCACCAAATAACTTTCAGGTTCTAGGAATTATTCCTAGCTCTGTTCTGAACAGTGGCCTTGGCATGTGCACCATAAATGTGCATTCACACGAGGGCCAAAGCAAACAGTACAAGAACATGCTAAGCTTCAGTGATAGGTTTTATGGATGGGGTTTTGACATGGCTAGAAAAGGGGTTGGGATAGGCGTTGGTGATCTGGTTTCAGTGAGACAG